CTCCTTTGTCACAACCATGTGACGATAAAACTCTTTCACCAAACTCGGGTAAGTCTTGACCCTTATGGCGAGAAACCCATCCAACAAACCTGGATATCTAAGCATATCCAACAAAGAACTAGGGAAAGATTCCGGATCAAAAGCTTTACCTTCAAGAACGAGGTAATGGGTATCCACCTATTCCGCTTTCCTTGCCAAACTTGACCTTCTAGGCATGATTGAAGATGATCCAAAGGTCAACAAAAAGGACCCATGGCTTCTCCTCTTTCTCTTCTCACTCTCGCTGCTCTCTCTCTCTCTCAGCGACGGCGACGAGGCAGGCTCCGACTGTTGCGACAGCGAACGGCGGTGGCTTGGCGACGGCGGGGCGACGAGCAGGTGGTGGTGGCGGTGAAGCTACGAGGAGGGGTGGGCGCTGGGTGGTCTCACGGGTAGAAAGAAAGGAAGGAGAAAAGAAAGGGAATTTTAGGGATTTGAGTGAAATTGGGGAAAAAGATGATTTAATTTAGGGAATTTGGGTAAAGTGGGAATTTATAGTTTAGATGGAATTAAAATTGGTTAGGTTTTAAGAAAGACAATTGGCTCAAGTGGTTTAGAGGTTGGGTTGATAAAAATTAGGCTTGGGTTTGAAACTCAAAGGTTACAATTAAACATTAGGCTTGGTTTTTAAGCTACACAAGGAAGGGTTCTTGGTAAGAATTTTTGGCTATTTTCCAATTCAAAGAAGGGTTGATTGCTAACTTCACAACGAAGCTCACATGCCAACTAAAGAAATTACTTAGCAAGAAGAGTCTATACTAAGCCTCAAAAGAAATGCTATCAAAGAAAGCATACCAAGGATTGCCAAGCAAGAGACAACTATGAAACACAAGGTAACACTCAAGATACAACGAACACGATGATTCTGGAGAAACAAACAAGGGTAGGCTAGAAGAAAGGGGTTACCTGCCACTTCATCCTCCATCAAGCCCTCCGATTCATCTTGAGAACGCGCCATCACAAAAACTCTTCCGGGTGGCCTAGCTCCGACAGCTCCGCGACCTGAAGATCTTATCAAACACCCGTAGCCACTCTTCTAGGACTACAGGGTCTTCCTCGCCAGCGAAGGTTGGCTGCCGATGCCCTGACACCAAACGACCTACATCGCGATGTCCAGCAGGGGGAGGAGGCGGCACAGCTTGATTGTTGTTCAGCAAGGCTTTACTGAGCGTCTGCATCGTCTACGTCAGTTGCTGGAGATTCTGAGCGAGCTACTCATTGGTCGGGGTCTCCGGGGTGCGAGCGCGGGGACGAGGAGGCATCGCAGACTTCTACAACAACAACGAGATTACCAAAAAGAGCAAGCAAGCAAGACAGAAAGCAACACACATCTCACCGCGCAACCTAGAGTCTTAAGCCTAACACTTAGCTTCTTAAGGTAGCTTAGAGGTCTCAAAACACACTTAACCACTTAGAAAGTCTAGACTTAACTCTTCCTAGGCTCAAACCTAGGCTCTGATACCAACTGTAACACCCCCCAAACAAGACCTATATAAAAGCCTTAACACATGTAGATTAAGCGACAAAACTAGCACAGCGGAAGATAAAAACGGAACTGGATAAAAAGAAATCCAACGGGGTGTCACGCCACGTCTACCAAACACGGTAAACAATCTGCAAGTGTGTACATCTATCCCAAAACATCAGTCTAACTACATCGGCGCACAGGCCACAAAAGCAAGGATAAAGGTGCTAAGCTACCAGGCTCTAGACATCGCGCTCGTCTAAACATCACCTGAAAGATACAAAGATAAACATTGGGACGACGCCCGGTCAGCGAATAATGCTGGTAACCCACCAATACCGTTAAGTATCATAAATAGATAGATATAAGTCATAAAAACCATTTTCGAAACGAAATACATATATATAAGTCAAAACCAAGATCAACTGTCAACACAAGACTCATCACTCTCAAGGATAACACGGGAACACATCCCAAACCACAAAGGTTAACCACACACAAGGATAAAGACTCACCCAACGGCAACACATGCCACAACAACACAAGCCTCCGTGACTACACATGTCACGAGAGAAGATCACACAACGCCGGCTTTACAAGCCCTCGCAACATCACTCATCACGAGTTGGTATGCCTTCCTTATGCCCTGTTCCAACCTTATGGCTACCCCCAACCTTGTACCTTCTTTCCAACCATTACCTCCAGGAACCCCTGTACTTCTTAGTCCAACCTTATTCCCCCGGGACCGTCGTCCCCCACCAACAACCACCAACAAACACCACCAATCACGGAAACACATGCCCCGATAACACATGTTATCCCCCAAAAACGTGGATCCATCACTCAGGCCACAACTCCATAATCATGTCACGGCCACCACGAGGACCGCTGCAATACCTTGGTAACTAGTGTCCCATACCACTAATCGTGCAATCCAGGTAGAGCCACACACACACCACCACTCACACGAGAGTCAAACAACGGATCACAACGAAGGTATGAAACATACTCAATCAAGGAACGGGTCACAGCCCAACGACAACAAAGATGAATAACACAAGTTATCATCACCCAAACGGAAGGTACAAACAACACACACGCAAGCATTAAGACAACAAACTAGCATGCTTATCAACGGGGAAACTCAAGATAGTTCCGAGGAACACACAAGACACCTCTTGGTCCAACGAAACACAATGTTGAACACTTAGCACGATTCAAGACACCAAAGTCCTACATGGGTACCTACCATATAGTTCTAGACATACGAAACATCAAGAAGACACTCAAATAGTTCCATAAGAGAACAACGGGAAGTCAAAAGACCAAATACCGAGCCAAACAAAACACGAGGAACAAATCCCATCTCAACTCCACTGTGTTCCCCGGCGGTGGATCCACGGGTAGTGCCCCACCCGTGGTTCCGCCCGCGGGAACACCATCCCACAGGCTATGTACCCTCGGGTAGGCCGGCGGGTGGTACCCTGCCCGCCGTTCCGCCCGCGGGAACAACCCTGTACCACAACAAATCCCTTTGGGGATTTTCTTCTCCAAACACAAATTCAAGTCCAAAACATGTCAAATCTCATCAAACACAACAAAATGACTTGAACCATGGAAAATGCCAAGCAATGGCACAAAGGAACCCTAAACACAAGCTCTAGATATGCAATATCACAAGACAAATGCATAAACCCTCACATTTCATAGCAAAACACATGTAGAATCCAAGAAATCACATATAGGTAAGCAAAATAGGTTTTGTAGAGCATGGGTTACCTCTTGAAGACCAAAAGACTTCACTTTACACCACAACAAGCTCTCCACAAGGCTTACTTTCCAAACCCACTTCAAGATTAAACCAAAAGATCATAAGGATCCTACCTTTAAGAAAAAGACAACTAAGATGAAACCAAAAACACAAGATGAACTTAGATCTTACCCTCCTAGATGCTCAGATAGGTGAAAGGTTGAATCTTGGAATCTTGACAAGGGTCTCAACTTGGCTTGGAGAATAAGCTACACTTCTTTTCTAGAGAGAAGGTAGAACTATTTTCTAAGAATTGTAGGGAATGAAATGAAGAAGTCTTCTAGGTTAGGTTACAATACTAACTCTTGGTGAAAAGATAAGAATACCCTTACTAACCCTTAGAAAGTGTAAGGAACAAGGGAACTCCCCTCAGAGCACAAGGTACAACACAACTTAAAGGTTGACTAGTCAAATTCTAGTCCTTGAGTATTAAAAATCAGGATTTTAGGAATTAATTCCTCAAATAAAAATAGGATTAATTACTCAATTAATCCATGGATTGAATGTGGATTTTTGGGGTGTCACAGATGTCCTGGGCCCCATGTAGCTGCACTCCTAGGTTCCTCACTCGGCTCCAAGTCATTGCTCCTTCTACGTTTTGGCTGTCACCGGAACCGGCCACAGATGATGCCTTGGAGCGGGTAGCTTGAGTGTAGGTCATCTTGGAAGAGGGATTTCTTGATGCCATTTTTGTATTCCTTCCTTATAGAGCCCGCGAATCAACAGTGAAGAGATGAGAGGCAGAGTGGTCCCACTAGGTGTGCCAAAATCTGTAAACACAAAAAAGTAAACTTTGTATATATTCCACAAAATTCCTTGTACAGTGTATGTATAATTTAATATGCAGGTACAAAATCTCTGTCTAGTCCTCTGATTCTTCACTGACGTTATCTATGGAAGTGCCTCCGGGATTCAAATAGCATAGCCTCCGGGATTTAAGTGGCGCGTGCCTCCGGGATTTAAGTGGCGTAGCTTCCGGGATTCAATCGGCGTGACTTCCAACAACGAGCGTCAAGAATTTAGAATTAACCAACCCTGCAAAGTTTCAAAACACATGCAATGGATTCAAGCTGCCTTAAGGTCCTCAAATGCCTTCAAAAGACTTCAAGATCTTCGAGACAATCAATTCTGCAAAGCTCCAAAGTACCTGCAATGGATTCAATTGCCTGCAAAATCAACAAAAATGCCTTCAAATCTTCAAGCGTTCTTCAATGCCTTCAAGCTCTTCAAATGCTCTCAATTCCTCAAGTCTTCAAATTCTTCAAGCTTTCAAGTGTGTTTTGGAATGAAAACGAAGGCTCTATTTATAATAGAAGCCTAACCAACATTCCTCAACAAACTCCCCCTTTAATTAATTATTCTAGAAAATGAACCTTGCCCAGAATCAAGTCTAGGTTCATTATTGTATAATCTAATTCAAATTCAAATTAAATTATAATTATCTAATTCAAATATAATAAAATATTATATTTAAATTATAATCATAATTTATAATTCAAATTCAAATATGAAATGGGCTTGGGCCAATTAATTAATTAATTCAATAGCCCAAATCAAATTCTAATTGGGCTAATTAAATTGAATTAATTTATATGATCCAATTAATTAAATTGGCCCAACATTTAACCTCAACGTCGGTCCACCGACCATTTATCAGTCCATTTGTTGGATTCAAATTTCCTGTGTCTACAGCTTGTAATTTGGTAGGTTTTCTTGTCCACCCTCCCCCATAATGTGGTGGGGTTGTTGCCTGCAGTCTTAAGTTAGAACAGGTTGGGTCATAATACCTTGTGCTTATTTCTAACATCCTTTAAGCTATGATAGGCTACTGAGAAAGTGAACGAATTGACTATTAGCATAGAGGGAAAGAGCATGGATGAAAAGAAAAATCTGCTAGCTAAATGTGCTGCTACAACATTATCATCAAAACTCATTGGTGGGGAGAAGGAGTTTTTTGCATCCATGGTTGTTGATGCTGTTATTGCAATTGGAAATGAAGACAGGCTGAATATGATTGGAATCAAGAAGGTATAACTTATATTTTTGAGGCCTACTAGATTTAGCTGACTTTGATGGATGTGGCTTTGAAGTGATTTGATTTGTTTGCTTAATTGGCATGGGGTCTCCTCATTTATGCTTTCTGACACTGGACAACTTATGCTACATGAATGAGTTCACTGATGCTAATGCTTGTTTAGACACATTACTTATTTAATGCTCTGAAACTTCTTCCTTCATGTTGAAGTTTTGAGTTTAAAAAGCTTGATATTATTGGGAAGGGTATACTACTATTATTTTGTGAGTACAAACCTAAAAATTAACATTACTGTGATCTGTGGATGGTACAATGCGACACTGTGACATCACATTAATAACATATTCATGCATGGTTGCTTTTACTCAAAAAGTGTAATGTGTGCCTGGGAGTGTAAAAAAGAAGATGTTGAGGTTATTACGGGGATTTTTTAATTGAAACTGGATACCCATTTAATCCATCTTGAGAGTTGCATTATATAATATAACCTTATTTTCTCATCCTTTATATTTATGTGCCTCTGTATCTTTTTCAATGTTTATTTTAATGCTGTGAATCTATGCTTACACTTTGTTCTTTTAAAATAAAATATGTAGGTTCCTGGAGGTACTATGTGCGATTCATTCCTTGTAAATGGTGTTGCCTTCAAGAAGACATTTTCATATGCTGGTTTTGAACAACAGCCTAAAAAGTTTGTAAATCCCAAGATACTTTTACTCAACATAGAGTGGAACTGAAATCAGAGAAAGAAAACGCAGAGATAAGGTATCATTATTTTGGAAATAATATTTAGATTTTCTTCTGAATATTGTTGTTGTTGTTGTTGTTATTATTATTTTCACAAGTCACATGATTTAAACTGCTTAGCTTACATAACCTTGTTTATAACAGGCTTTTTGATCCATCACAGTATCAATCAATAGTTGATGCAGAGTGGAATATCATTTATGACAAGTTGGATAAATGTGTCAAGAGTGGGGCGAAAGTTGTTTTGTCTCGACTTGCTATTGGTGATCTGGCTACACAGGTTTGGTGAAAGCTTTGTAACTTATAGTTGTAACTATTTTTTACCTTGATTTTCAAAGGAAAAGTAGCACTCATACTATAATTTGTTTATACTCTGATTCTGTCCTGCTGTTTGATTTATTTATTCACAAAGCTATATAGAAGTTTCAATTTTATGTATACCATTTAAATTTAAGTTTCCCATGTGGATATTAGAACATTTAATTGTCTTCTCCTCTTGGTTTGTTTAGGCTGAGTAGAGCGTAGAATGTGGCTTGTTTTTATCACTTGGCAGGGCGCTTGTTGTCATCATTTCTGGCTTTCGTCCTCACTTCAACATTTTCAGGCTCAGTCTCTTCATACACATGTGCTGAAATAGATGCAGTATTTCTACCTCGTTTAGCCTCCCGTGCCATTTGTAGTATCGTAGGATTACTGGTGCTAGGACTTACATTCCTGCAATAACAATAGGTACAATAAATTAGACCAATGAGGCACAGAATTGAAATTGATAATGTACAGAGTTGTACAATCATAATATACAGAATCTTATAATAGAATACGTATAAACATAATTTCAAGCATTATTTAGTTTGTAGGTTGAGGAATGAGATTGAAATTTATAATGTACAGAATTAGTTAACATAATGCAAATAAACGATCGAGCATCTGATAGTTTAGTGGTACGACTTAAAATCCTTTGCAGCTTTGGTGGAAAAATAGAATACTATCTCAGACAAGCGATGGAAAGCTCAGGTATGTTGGAGGTGAAACAAGCCTTATCGGTGTAAGGAAGAATATAATGTGGCATGAGTTATGGCTCAAGGCTATAGCTTATGACCACACTCATATTATAAAATATCAGCTTCCTGGAGATCAGAGGATCTTGATGCTTTAGTTTCTGTGTCATGTGATGAGGATTTGCAGAATATGATGGAAGAATGTAATGTTTTAGATGATACAGAAGGAACAAAAGAGCTTAGGATGTTTTTGTTTTCTATGATTGACTTGGAGGATACTCATTTTAGTGTATCTAACTCTCATGTGATTCTGAGATTCAGTATGTTGTTGTTGTCAATGGCTTTGACCTTGAATCCAGGAAATGCTCAATTTTGTATTGTCTAGGTTCCTCTGCTAACACTTAGCTGAGCTAGATGTGCAGAATGTAGAGATAGACACAGGTAAGTTACCACATTATGGTGACAGTAAGTCACAGAATTTGCAATCTACTCACAATTTGAATTCCTATATGCGGGTTTATGAAAGTCTCATACCAAAACAAAATGGGATTTTGACTTAGAAAGAAGATATTGAGGAGCAGCTGTTGGATATATGGATTAAGTGAGCAACATTTACAAACTAGTATAAAGCCAGTGAAATCAGATGCTAATGCTTCAGCTTATAAGGGAGTAAAAAAGCCATAACCACAATAGGAGAAAGCCAAGCAATCTCCATTTGTGATAGAGTTATCTTCCATAAATTTTGCCCAATTATTCTGAAAACAAAAACCATCTCTAGTTTCTGTCATCTCCATGCTCCAAACTTTCTTAAAACAATTCCTAAGAATTACCTTGTTTTTGGAACAACTCCTCCCACAGATTCCTTAAACTAGATGGGAATTTCCTCTTAGGGAACATGTCCTATTGGATAAGCAAATTAATGAGAAAAATTCTAGATCAGTTTCAGTACAGGAAAGCAAGATCTAAACAAAAACTAAACACACATAAAAACAGGGAACATTCTTGATCGAACTATTATATATAAATATAATCTGACATGAACAAAATAAAAACGGGTACAAAACATTTTTTGTGACAAAAATGCTTGCAGAATCTGAAAGTTCTTACCCAGACAACCATGTCTAGACTAAAAGCATAAAATTAAAGGGCATTAAAGAATACAACAATTTCAAATCAAGTTTCCCATAGATGGAAGTGGTCCACATCCAGTACTTTTGTGTACTGGTGGTTAAAAATGGCATAGTCTAAGACAAACGTTAATATAGCTAGGCTAGCTAGCATGGTAGTTCAGTTTGACTTTGCTGCATTACCTGTGTATGGGACTATGAGGAAATGATTAATTTCAGTAATTTATTATTATTTTTATTTTTAATGATTTCACTCATTTGGATCTCAATGATTTAAAAAAATATTGAGATCGTGTGCCATGTGCCTCCCAAAATGACGTCGTTTTGTTAAGTTGTGTGGGAAATTGACGCGACAGAGTGTATGTGTATTTTCTTATATAATTATGTACATTATAAATGGTTTTCAATTACATGTAATCAGTTATTTTACCAAAATATCTTTATATACTCAGTTATGAATTAATCGAACCCACTAACTCAATCAACTAATAACTATTTATCAAATATCCCTAAAATAACGTAACCACAAAACGAGTAGTTTGTAAAGTATTTTTAATACTCCGTATGATTTAATTCGTTGAAGTAAAGTTTACTCATATGGTTTTCATTGTGACTGTTAGAAAAAAAAAAAAAAACTGGACAAAGTATACATGGAAACTGAAAACACCCCAAGGGCCCACACCTAGAGTCGCAGCTTTGCGGCAATTTATATCGTGCATCACGGTGCACATTGCAATGTGCGTCCAGGTACAAAACGCCGACATTTCAATTGTTGTTGACGGGGATCGATGTGATAGACGTACACTCTGTCCGTCCAATTCCCGTTATGTGTATTCTGCTAAAAGTTTGTGTATTGTGTTATGACTTTATGCGTATTCTGTTAAGAGTTTATGTGTATTATATTAAAATCTTATGTGTATTCTCATTTATGTTAAGAGTTTTTTGTGTATTATGTTATGAACTTATGTGTATTATGTTAAGAGTTTATGTATATTATGTATTATGTTAGATTATGTGTATTCTGTTATGAGTTTATGTGTATTCTGTTATGAGTTTATGTACATATGAAACAAAAGTTTTTTTTTTTCCTAAAGTTAACGGTAAAATTGTGGGTTAGAATTGATATCAACGTTTTCCAAAATCTCATTTTCAATTGAAATTAAAGCTAATCCATTGACTCTCTTTTAATGTTTTTGAATCCTATTTTCTTTTTACACTTCTCAAATCTAGATGAATATTTTCTAGAAGACATAATTATAAAGTTCTAAGGAAAAAACTAAGATTTTTTTTAAAGCAACTACGAATTTATTTAGAAACTCTATAAATAAATAATTAATCTAAAACGAATTCTTGAATATATTATTCTGAAATCAGAATTATTAAGTCATGTAAATAAAATAATAAACAAGAATTGTGAAATAATACGTAATTTTAACTTTAATTATGTGTTAAGAGAATTGAAGAACTTGAGAATTTGTATATTAAAAAAAAAGAATTTAAGATCCGTAGCATAGGAACTGACTTTGTCGTCTTTGCGTCAACTCACTAAATTCCGTGTAAATTGTTGAATTTCTTGTTTGTCTTTGCAAAGAATACAAATTAATAATTATACAATTGAGATTTTCCTCAAGTAATTTGATTTGCCAAATCTCACAAAGAGCACATACTACACCATAGACAAATTAAATATTTAACTTATAGAGAAGATTAGGAATTTAAGATGACACGCACAACTTAGTTCAATTACCTTGGCTGTTTGTTGAATTGTTGTCCCCTCTCTTTTGTTTGTCGATTGCCGAGTCTGCCGTCTCAGTGTCTCGCGTTTGTTCCTACGCCATCCAGTAGGTCGCTAGGTTAGGCCGTTACGGTAATAAATTAATAATGATTGTCGGTTCGATAACAAAAGCAATCGATGATCGTGTATATATATATATATATATATATATATATATATATATATATATATATATATATATATATATATATATATATATATATATATATATATATATATATATATATATATATATATATATATATATACTATATAACTAATTTTTTTTTTAAATATTTGGGGGCCCTGTGCGCCGGCCCTGATGAAAACAACAGACGAAGTATAATTGTTGAGTTCGTAACTTTTTTTTTTGAAAGGAAACGTGAATATATTAATCCAACGCCAAAATACAATCAGGAGGGTAAGTAATACATACCTCAAGGACAGAAGAAGAATCAGTAGTCTGTGCGAGTACATGGAGCCATCATCCTTCCGTTCCTCTCGATTAAAACCATGTTAGGTTGACTTTATCATAAACAATTCCTTTTTCATTATGCGTTACAAAGCTTTCGTGTTGGCTTCATCTTTCTCCGTCTCACAACACTCTTTATACATCTCGCTACCACCAACCTTAATTTTGTCAAAACCCCGACCCACTTATCAAAAGACGATCCATGAGAAAACAACTCCTTGTTGATATATTGTTAAATGATTAACAAGTGATGATAGAGGTGGAAGACTTTAGGGTCATATTGTATTATTGCTAAATTGATTGTTGTAGGTAGGAGAGAATAAAAACAACAATGAGATGTTTATAGGTGGTACATACTTACAAGAAATAGAATTTGGTGGTAATTTTATTTTTTTATTTGACAAATCGTTGCATGTCATGATCATGGAGCAAATACATATGCATGAATTAGTGAAACAAAAACAAAACCATATATGATGTTTGGATGTGTGTGGACCGACTTTTATTATAGGCAGTTGAGTCTGGATCTTCCTTAGTTTCCTCTGACCACTTGACACGGACTGTTTGGGTCGGGAGTTCGAATAACTATACAAAGGAAGGAAGAAGAGCAGTTGAAAAATATGTGGAATTGATGAAATGGGTTGTATCGATTATGTTTTCTGATATTATCGTGGCTTGAATTCGAGCAAATAATTGTCTAATTCCGTGCAGTGCACGTGAATGCACGTGCGATGCACAGATAAAATTCTTTATTATATATTTAGATAATAAAATTGTTACTATTTCTTTAAACCTTTCAAAATTTGCTAAATATTCATTCAAATACGTGTGAATACGTATCAATGCAGAACACTACTGAAATTTTTTGTATGAGCAAAAACGGACATGGGTGATCGTTTTTACATTAGA